ATTCCTGTAATGTAAAAATTCATGCTTCGGGATTTGATGAACACATGGAAAGCATTTTCTACATCCTTCTGGTTGTGGAAGCATTGTCCCTGTAAAAAGTGATTGAGATGCTTGAAGAAGTGGTAGTCAGTTGACGAGAGGTCAGGTGAATATGGCAGATGAGGCAAAATTTCATAGCTCAATTGATTATGCAACATGCAGCTGGGCATTGTCATGGAGAAGATTTGGGCCCTTTCCATTGACCAATGCTGGCTGCAGGTGTTGCAGTTTCCTGTGCATCTCACTGATCTCCTGAGCTTACTTACTTCTCAGATGTAATGGTTTTGCCTGGGTTCAGAAAGCTGTAGTGAATCAGACCAGTAGCAGACCACTAAACAGTGACCATGACCTTTTTTTGGTGCAAGTTTGACTTTGGGAAATGCTCAGGAGCCTCTTCTCAGTCCAACCATTGAGCTGGTTGTCATATACAGTCCACTTTTCCTCGCAGGGCACAATCTGACTGAGAAATGGTTCGTTGTTGTTGCATAGAATAAGAGAAGGCAACACTTCAAAAAGACAATTTTTTTTGGTCAACTCATAAGGCACCCACTTAATGAACTTCTTCACCTTTTCAATTTGCTTCAAATACCAAACCACCATAGAATGGTTGGTGTTGAGTTCTTTGGTAACTTCATGTAGTTGTAAGAGGATCAGCTTCGATGATTGCTCTCAATTGGTCATTGTCAACTTCTGATGGCCGGCGACTTCGCTCATCTTCAAGGGTCTCGTCTCCTTTGCAAAACTTCTTGAACCACCACTGCACTCTGTATTCATTAGCAGTTCCTGGGCCAAATGTGGTGTTGATGTTGTGAGTTGTCTCTACTGCTGCTCTACAACCAACTTTGAACTTGAGTAAGAAAATTGCTCAAGGGCTCGGTGGCTCAGCCTGTAATCCCACTCCCGGCCACCGCACTCCAGTCTGGGCAACAGAGTGAGACTCCAACTCAAAAAAAAAAAATTAGCTGAGCCAGGCTCGGTGGCTCAGCCTGTAATCCCACGCTTTGGGAGGCTGAGGTGAGTGGATCGCCTGAGCCCGCGGGTTCGAGACCCGCCTGGGCAACTTGGTGAGACTTCATCTCTACAATAAATCAAAAAATTAGCCGGGTGTAGTAGCATGTGCCTGTAGTTCTAGCTACTTGGAAGGCTGAGGCGGAAGGATTGTTGGAGCCCAGCAGGTCGAGGCTGCAGTGGCCGGGAGCAGCCACTGTACTCCAGTCTGGGTGACAGAGTGAGACTCCAATCCAAAAAATTAAAAAATTAAAAAATTTGTTTAAATTGCTCAAATTTGCTTTTTGTCTAACATCATTTCCATAGACTAAAAATATAAAATAAACAGCAAGTAGTAAGTCATTAGCAAAAAAACAACATAAAGCGAGGAAGGTGCATTAAAATAATGTATTCCTTTTCCCCAGTTGCCACCAAGGTGCTTGGTGCTTCCGAAGAAGCTAAGGCCCTCACTTCATCAGTGACTAGCACTGCGCCTAGCCGCTCCATCCCGCCCTCGCCGCAACATGGCCTCCATGTCCAAGCTCTCCTGTGTCTACTTGGCCCTCATTCTGAGGTGATGGTCATGGAGGATAAGATCAATGGCCTCATTAAGGCCACCAGTGTGGCTGCGGAGCCTTTCTGGCCTGGCTTGTTTGCAAAAGCCCTGGCCAATGTCAACATCAGGAGCCTCATCTGCTCTGTGGGGACTGACAGGCCTGCACCTGCAGCTGGGGCTGTCCCACCAGGGGTCCCACCCTGTCAGCCGCTGCTGTCCCAGGAGAAGAAAGTGGAAGCAAAGAAAGAAGAATCTGAGGAGTCTGATGAAGACACACGTTTATTTCAGCACTATTTACAATAGCAAAAACTGACTGACTAAACCTTTTGTTTGTTTGTTTGTTTTAGTTGGAGTCTCACTCTGTCACCCAGACTGGAGTGCAGTGGCCACTCCCGGCCACCGCAGCCTCGACCTGCTGGGCTCCAGCGATCCTTCCGCCTCAGCCTTCCAAGTAGCTGGAACTACAGGCACGCGCTACCACGCCCAGCTAATTTTTTTTAATTTATTGTAGAGATGAGGTCTCGCCAAGTTGCCCAGGTGGGTCTCGAACCCACGGCTCAGGCAATCCACTCACCTCAGCCTCCCAAAGCGTGGGATTTCAGGCTGAGCTACCAAGCCCGGCTGACTAAACCTTTTATACACCGTGTTGAATAAATAGAAATCGGAACAGGCAACCAATTCGTGATCAAAACTCCAAAAGCCCATGTCATAAGAGATAAGGTAGACAAATGGGACCTCATCAACCTAAAAGTTTCTGAAAAGCAAATGAAACCATCAGGAGAGTAGGGAGACAGCCCACAGAATGGGGAAATATATTTGCCAACTGCACATCTGACAAAGGCCTAACATCCAGGATCTACAAGGAACTCAAACATGCTGAAAGGAAAAAAACAAACAGTTCCATTAAAAAGTAGGCAAAAGATATTAATAGAAATTTCTCAAAAGAAGACATACAAGTAGCCAACAGACACATGAAAAAATGATCAGCCTCACTAATCACCAAATAAAAGCAAATTAAAACCACACTGAGACACCACCTAACTCCAGTCAGGGTGGCCATCTTCAATAACTCAAAAACAGCAGATGCTAGAGAGGATGTGGGGAAAAGGGAATACTTCTACACTGTTGGTGGTAGTGTAAACTAGTACAACCTCTGTGGAAAACAGTGTGGCAATTCCTAAAATATCTAAAAATTGTATCAACCATACAACCCAGCAATCCCCCTTCTAGAAATATTCCCAGACAAACTCAAATCATTCTATAAAAAAGACACCTGCACACACGTTTATTTCAGCACTATTTACAATAGCAAAAACATGGAACCAACCATGCTGTCCATCAAAAGTGGACTGGATTTTAAATGTGGTACATACACATGGTGGAATATTACACAGCCATAAAAAAGGACAAAATTATGAATTTCACAGCAACTTGGATGGATTTAGAGTCTATAATACTCAGCGATCTATCACAGAAACAAAGAACTGAGTATCATATGTTCTCACCCATAAGCAGATCCTGATCATTTATCATAATACTATAAGAAAGGGATTGGCAATAGCCAGATAGGTCACTGCTAGGGGAGGGAGGGGGGCACATAACATCAATAAGGATACATGATCTCAAACCAGGAGAAGTGGGGACTAAAGGGAGGTCCAAACTTTACCTGTACCATGACCACTTACGTACCTAATCCTGAATTGTACCCATCTTTAAAATTAAAAAATATATATATAATCTATGTAATGAAATAAAATGAGCCGGGCTTGGTGGCTCAGCCTGTAATCTCGTGCCTTTGGGAGGCTGAGGTGAGTGGATTGCCTGAGCCCGCGGGTTCAAGACCCACCTGGGCAACTTGGTGAGACTTCATCTCTACAATAAATCAAAAATTAGCTGGGCGTGGTAGTGCCCGCCTGTAGTTCCAGCTACTTGGAAGGCTGAGGTGGAAGGATCGCCGGAGCCCAGCAGGTCGAGGCTGCGGTGGCCGGGAGAGGTCACTGCACTCCAGTCTGGGTGACAGAGTGAGACTCCAACTCCAAAAATAAAATAAAATAAAATGAAACCAATGTTTCATTTTTTTAAAAAAAAGACCTTAGCACAGTGCTAGATGTACAGAGAACACTCAGTGCTGGCTAATATTGATATTTTAATGATTATTATGAATATTATTAATTGTTATGATGGAGATAAATACACAGTTGTCATAAGGATCAGATGTGGCTGTGAATATAAAAATGCTTTGGACAATTCAACTCACACAATCCCTGGCCCATTCCCTTCTTTTTGCCCCATGAACACTTCTACCATAGCATCTGTGATGTTGTACCAAGTCATTTAACATTTTCTTTTCTTTTTTAATTTCTTTTTTTTTAAGTTGGAGTCTCACTCCGTCACCCAGGCTGGAGTGCAGTGGCACGCTCAGGGCCACCGCACCTCAACCAACTTGGCTCAAGCAATTCTTCCACCTCATTCTTCCAAGTAGCTGGAACTACAGGCATGTGCCACCATGCCTGGTTAATTTTTTTATTTATTGTAGAGATGAGGTCTTGCCAAATTGCCCAGGCTGATCTCAAACCCATGGGCTCAGGCAATCCTCTCACCTTGGCTTCCCAAAATGCTGGGATTATAGGTGTGAGCCACTGCACCCAGCCTCTATCTTTTCTTATTGAGACATTTCTATCTATGTCTCAATCATGTCAGTTTTTCTTGAGCCTCCAATATCACATATGTGTTAATAAATATTAATTAGATGAATAAATCCAAGTGAAGCTGTCCACCAGGGAATTAATGGCTTTGGAACCATTCACACACACACACACACACACACACACACACACACACACACACACACACAAATGCTTTGAAGAATTAAAAAAAAAACTAGTCTTAACTTATGGTCTCAGGTAAGAGTTGTTTAGGAGAATTTTAGGGATGATGAAAACATATAGCCACTCTGAAAAAGTTATCTATCAAAACTTTGTAGAGGCGCCATGATTGCAGCCACCCACAGCCCTCGAGGCTGCCTGTAGGCTGCGGTGGCAGGGGGTAAGACCCCAGCTACCCATTGCCGGTGCCCTCCAGTGTCCTTGAGGTAACCTGGGCCCCCACACACACACCGCTGCACCCCCCCCCAGCCACCACTAGAGGACAGGCTCCCTCCCCATCCCTCTTCCTAGCCCTTGCCCGCTGGCTGCCCTGGCCACCGTCCCTGGGGCCTCCCTCCGCGCGACTTTCTGGCGCTGGCCCTGCCAATGGGTCAGGTGTGGACATGCTGTGGGCTCCCAGGAGGTGACACAGCACTGCTTTTTGGTTCCCCAGCTGTGATCATGCCCCAGCACCAACCTTGAGCCCACTAGACTGGGAGTGGCCATCGCCAGCTTTCCACACCTTGGTGAAGCTATCCGTTCAGTTCACTGCTATTCTCATGGGTCACATGAGACAGATGAGGAGTTTGATGCTGGCTGGGTGACATACTTCAACAAACCAGATACAGATGCCTGGGAATTGCGTAAAGGAATGAACACACTTGTTGGCTATGACCTGGTTCCAGAACCCAAAACTCATTGATGCTGCTTTGCAGGCATGCAGAAGGTTAAATGATTTTGCTAGCGTAGTATGCATCCTAGACATAAGGACATAATAGCGTAGTATGCATAAGGACAAACAGGACATCATAAGGAATCTACCCCTATGTCATTCAGGAACTTAGACCAACTTTAAATGAATTGGGAATCTCCACTCCGGATGAACTGGACCTTGACAAAGCATAAACCTCACAGATGTGCTTCCCAAGGATTTTCTGGTATTGCAACTTGATTGTTAACAGTTACCTGGAAATACTGATGATAACACATTACCTTATTTGAACACTTTTTTCTTTATTGAGTACCAAACCATGTAATGGTAACTTAGACTTTAATAAAAAGGGAAGCCAGGCTCAGTGGCTCAGCCTGTAATCCCGTGCTTTGGGAGGCTGAGGTGAGTGGATTGCCTGAGCCTGAGGGTTCGAGACCCACCTGGGCAACTTGGCGAGAACTCATCTCTACAATACATAAAAATAAAAAAATAAAAAAATTAGCCGGGCATGATAGCGCATGCCTGTGGTTCCAGCTACTTGGAAGGCTGAGACAGAAGGATCGCCAGAGCCTAGCAGGTCGAGGCTGCGGTGGCCGGGAGCGTGCCACTGCGCTCCAGTCTGGGCAACAGAGTGAGATTCCAACTCAAAATAAATAAATAAATAATAAAAAAATAAAAAGGGAAATGAGTTTGAATTGAAAAAAAAAAAAAAAACTTTGTAGAAATATCTACTCTTTTGCACAACTACCTAAGGAATAAAAAAAAGCCTCTTTCTGATGTGCTTAAAATCCCATGAATGTGAATTCCAGAAAGTGAAGTGTCATTGCAAATGTATCATTGGTTTATTTAGACTCCACTTATGTATTCATTTTAAATCACAACAAAACATGTTTTAAAGTCTGAATTACAACAGCAACTCCAGTGTTTTTGAATATGATAGAACCTGTCCATGGGTTCCCAACACTCTGGTTACCTTCTGCTGTATGGCTCCAGAATTGGCATGACATCTCAGTTATGTCATTTGTCGCACTAAAATATGTTCCTCAGTGCTGTGTATAAATTGGTACTTGTTCTCACCTACCAAATTGAACCTACAGCTAAAAACTCCACTGCTTTGTGAGTTAAGATTTCTTCAGAGATGTATTGCCTTGGCAGCAGTGTCTTACATCTCTCCTATGCATTCTAGGAACCTTTAGCTTTTTTGCAGTCCTGCTTGAGATGCTTCATTTTTCTAAATATGCTACAGTATTTTATGTTCACCTCGTTTTTGTGGTGAACACCTGTCATATTTAAAGACACAAGTTAGGGCCGGGCTTGGTGACTAACACCTGTGATCCCAGCACTTTGGCAGGCCATGGCAGGAGAATTGTTTGAGCCCAGGAGTTCAAGACCAGCCTGAGCAACATAGTGAGACCCTATCTCTACAAAAAAATAATTAGCCAAGCATGGTGGCACATGTCTAAAGTCCCAGCTACTCAGGAGGCTGAGGCAGAAGGATTGCCTGAGCCCAAGAGATTGAGGCTGTGGTGAACCATAATCATGCCATTACACTCCAGCCCGGGCAACAGAGACTCTGAATGAAAAATAATAAAATTTTTTAAAACACAGGTTAAATATTTCCTCCATGAAGTCTTTTAAAATAAAAACATAGGAATGCACCTTCCATTGCATGGAAATGTTATTTTCTATCTAGAACCCTCCTTACTTCAAAGAAGAGCTCCCCTTTCATCCTATGAGGTCCCACTCACCCTTGGCCACTGGAGGAGGGGATAACCTAGGTAGAGTCAAGCAGAGCCCTCTCCTGAAATGTACTATGTGGACATCAGCAAAAAGAGTCTTTATTCCTTAAAGGAGAAAGTTTGCGGTCTCCTACAGTCATCTTTTCTCCATATTATCCATATAGAGTTGGGAAAGATGGAAAGAGGAGAGAAAGGAGGGGAAGAGGAAGGAGGACAGAAATGGAAAAAAAGTTGGGCTGAGGGAAGAACAGGACAAAGAGAGAGACAAGGGTAAAAACAAAGAAAAGCAAGAAAAAGAAATAATTAGAGAGTTGGAGTAACCAGACATCACGTAGGTCAATGGATTCAATTGTGCCTTAAGCCGGTACTACTCTCATTTACATGAGCCAGTAAATTCCCCTTTTTTGTTCAAGTTAGTATGAGTTGGGTTTTTGTCATTTGCAACCAAACGTCATAACTAACAAACCCATCCTGCTGTTACCTCTTTTGCCTTTGTTCTGTATTCCACACAAATTTAATCCAGGCAATGATATACATTTGTTTAACTATTTCTTCACCAGCTTGCCCATGAACTCAAGGAAGGCAGGCCTCTGGTCTTCGTATTCTCGGTGCCTGGCACATGATAAACACTCAGCAAATGTCTGCAGAGTGGATCATGTACCTGATTTTGCCAATCAATTGACAATCAGACCCCCTCTTCCCCACAACACACACAAAAAACAAGATGTAATAGGGGCCTAAACACAAATCTCATTAGTGGGAGAAAGGTGAATACCTCTAAGGCTGTTAGGCAAACTTTAAGGAAACTAAGTTAACATCAAGTACAAATAACTTTCTAAAAGTAGGAGATCTGTCCCTACTGGCTGAACTATCTAGGATAAAGAACTAGGAGATGAAGAATGAGGTCTCCCTAAAATTTTAGCCATGAGACTCACAGATACGAGACTGCCAAATTAGCTAACACTCTTAAGCTACCCAACTGAGTTTTATAAAAACATATGGAGATCAAAGATATTTAACTTCCTTTTTTTTTTCTTTTTTAGAGTTGGACTCTCACTCTGTCACCCAGGCTGGAGTGCTGGGGCACATTCACGGCCACCCCAGTGTCGACCTGCTGGACTCCAGCGATCCTTCCACTTCAGCCTTCCAAGTAGCCGGAACTACAGGAGTGCGCTACCACATCCAGCTAATTTTTTATTTATTGTAGAGATGAAGTCTCACCAAGTTGCCTGGGCTGGTCTTGAACCCACAGGCTCAGGCAATCCACTCAACTCAGCCTCCCAAATCCTCAGCTGGGATTATAGGCTGAGCCACTGAGTCCAGCCAATATTTACCTTTCATCTCAGGTAAGAAATATACAAAGAAGCTGTCCTAGTATGTTCTGGTGGCTGTAACAAAATAACTTAAACTGGGCAACTTATATGTAACAAAAACTTACTGCTCACAGTTTTGGAAGCCAACAAATCCAAGATCAAGGTGCCAGTAAGTTCAGTGTCTCATGAGGGCTTATTTTCTGCTTTAAAGATAGTGCATTGTCACTTTGTCCATAGCTTCCTTGGGTTTCTTTCATAAGGGCACTAATTCCATTCATGAGGGCAAAGCCCTCATGACGTAATTATCTCCCAAACACCATAATTACCTCCCAGATTAGGTTTCAACATATGAATTGGGGGGCGGGGCACATTCAGACCATAGCAAGAACTGATCCAAATTAAATAGATTATAACTTCTGGGGATAGGTCAGATTCCTCAGGACAGGGGGAAATAGTTTCCAGCCTAAATAAGGGCTCCTGGAAATATGTGCTAACCCATAAAATACATACCAATGACTGTGAAGAGATATTGGAGTGTCTTGGTGTTCTTTGTCTCACTTGAAATGTTTTAAAGATTTTTTTCCCCAGTAGGGTGTGAAGAGCCATATGTTCCCTGGGATTCTGTTATGGTTGATACAGGGATTAGGCCAAATCTTGAGGACAAAGTAAGGAATGTCACACTTAAGAGAACAGATCTCTTGGTGGGCTTGTACTAAGTGGGCCATATTTTGCATCAAAATTCCAAATCTCCTCCTAGCATGGTTACAGTTGAAAGAGCATGAATTAGAAGGTATGAACTCCAGGCTCAAGTTTCATCAACATTAGATGAATTATCTAGGAGAGTCAACAATTTTCTTTGAATTTCAGTCTCTCTAGATATAAAATGGGGACAATTCTTTCTCTATCCACCTTACGGTTGCTAAAACAAAACAAAACAAAACAAAAAAACTTAGCAATCATTTGTTCTAATTCCCTTATCTTCCTCACAAAGAAATTAATCAATTAAAGTCTTGCTCTTACTTTTTTCTGTCACAGATCCCTCTGAGAATTTGTTTAAAGCTATAAACACTTTTCCACACAAAAATATATTTGTATATGTATGTACTCCCACATACACATTTTTGCATATTATTTTTGAAAGAATCACAAAACTCCTGAGGTTCATTCTTAGGGAAGTCAAATTTTTAAAAACTCTGAATGAGAGAAACAATTTAAGTTAACCATAATTACACAAATTAAATTAATCAATTAAATTAACAAATTTACACACAGTAAAATAGGCTTGTTCATTTCATCATAAAATAAACTTATCTATTTTCAGGCAATGTTATAATTATTATTAACAGTCAGCAACCTCCAAACTCACAAGATAAGTACCACTCCATGTTTCCTCATTAGTGACTACCATTTAATAGGAGAGTCTTCTACTATCATGAGAGAACACAATGCTACATGTTTGTTGGTAAATAAATTCAGTAAGGCACTCAAATCCCAAACATGAACTAACAACAGGACTCTTTTCCCCCTATTATGAGTTGAAACATGATCTTGTTCCCTTCATTTTCTATGTTTTTTTTTTTAATAGAAAGACATACTTGTCTTGAACTTGTCTAAACATTGGCTTAAACTAATCTTCAGCTGGGCTCAGTGGCTCAGCCTGTAATCCCGTGCTTTGGGAGGCTGAGGTGAGTGGACTGACTGAGCCTGCAGGTTCAAGACCCGCCTGGGCAACTTGGCGAGACCTCATCTCTACAATAAATCAAAAATAGCCGGGTGTGGTAGCGCACACCTGTAGTTCCAGCTACTTGGAAAGCTGAGGCAGAAGGATCGCCAGAGCCCAGCAAGTCGAGGCTGCAGCGGCCAGGAGTGGCAGCTGCACTCCAGTCTGGGCAACAGAGTGAGACTCCAACTCAAAAAAACAAAAAACAAAAAAAACAAAACAAAACTAATTTCCAGAAGGAAAGGAAGAGAACACAAAATAAATTTTTAAAAAATCACTGGATTTTCTTAGAAAAAAAAGTTTTAATTTATATATTTAGCACAATTCTCTTTGCAAAATATATCTGTTAAAAAGTCTAAAACAAAAGTCCTGTCATTTATTTCATTCACCTATTTCAAAAGACAAATCATTTCAGTATTTCTTCCTTGAAATGCCTGCTATTTCTTTACCTGGGAAGGGCATAGGTTCCATGTTTTACAATGTCAGGATAAAAATCCAGGAGGGAGAAATCTTGTTGTAATGGGTAGCTGTTTTCATCTAATACGACAAGGCTCTGAATCTTCAATACACAAGGCTCTGCGCTGACTACCAACAAGGAGTGGATCAGGTCTGCCACAACCATCCCATAGGTGATCTCTGAGGAAGGTACTGCGGAAGATGAAACACACACAGAACCCTTAACACTGCTGCCAGCTTGATAGGAACACACACTGAAGGGTTTCATTGCTTCTCTTGGTTTCTCAAGTCTCAAACCCAAATTTCTCTTCCCATACTCTTTCTAGTTATAAGTTGCTGAAGGTACTCTAGAATGACAGCATGTAATTCCTGCTGAACATGAAAAGCAAGCCAGATACCGCACTGTTCAGACTGACAGCAGTTCCCACTGTGTCACAGCTACTGGCATCTTAAACAAGATCATAAAGAACTGAGATTGATGTTTCCCTAAGTTAACTAAGACTGAAACAAAGAAGGCATGTCATATCAGAAAAGTACTCTTATATTTATCTAATCTACAGTTCTTACCACAATTCTATATATATATTTATTTATTTTTATATCAAACAGCCTTGAATTGGTTACTTAATAAATATAAAATCTCAATAATAAAAAATGCAAAAATTATAGCTAGATATATCATTTTATTTTGCAATATTCTTCCTCCATTTTTTAAGGACATCTAACCAAGTCATTTAGCAGGTTGGTCAATAAATACCAGACCAAAAAGGCACCATTGACTATGTTCAGATACACTAGCTCCCTGATCAATACCACCCATCTTTCTTGGATTGGGGCTAAAAACTCCTGGAGAGCCAATTACACGTTTTTGGAGATGTAAGAATTCTTTACAGTAATTTTAAATTTTTGTAGTTTTACCTTGATAAACTTAAAAAAAAAACAAAAATGAACATTAGTGATAATCTGGATGGTCTGATGACCACTTCATAACCAATGACACTGTCACTTACTATTAAAATATAATCAAGGCCAAGAAGTATGACTTTAATTCTCTTGAAAATGGAAAAAACATGGACGTATACTTGATATGAGATGATGCATCTCTAAGAAATAAAGACTACATTGTGCAAAAAATGAAGGGATATGACTGAAAATATATAAATAACATAAAAAATTTAAATGGTCAAAAGAAAGAAAATGAAATAAAATGAATCAAAAAAGAACACTGACTTCTAACTAGGTTGCAGAAAGCTGGAAAGAGTGGGCTCCCACCCTAACAGTTACTAGAAAAAGCTGAATAAACTACAAAATCATTATTTTCTTAAGCAAATAAGAGAACTAAGGTTGTACAATAGCCAGCAAGACTGAAACATAAGGAAAAACAGGTGCCTCCAAGGAGACAGAAGAGAAGCACAGGTTAACCTGGGGCAGTGATTGGAAGAAGACAGGTCTGCCAAACAAGCAGGAAGAAAGAATGTGCTTACTTTGGGAAGCTGAGGAGAGAGAATTGCCTGAGCCCACAGATTTGACACCAGCCTGGGCAACTTGGCAAGACCTCATCTCTACAATAAATCAAAAATTAGCCGGGCATGGTGGCACGTGCCTATAGTTCCAGCTACTCGGAAGGCTGAGGCAGAAGGATTGCCTGAGCCCAGCAGGTTGAGGCTGTAGTGGCCGTGAGCATGCCACTGTACTCCAGCCCGAGCAGCAGAGTGAGACTCCAACTCAAAAAAAAAAAAAAAAAAGTGCTTACATTTGTAATGAATTGCTAAAAACTAATGAATTGTCTGTGCCACCGACATAATGGAGTCTGAATCCTTGCAGGCTCTTCCACGTGACTCTTCTCACCTCTACCAGGTGCTCACAAGACTGGGGCAGGGCATGACATCAGAGAAAGCTTCTGACAGTGGTGAAGGCCTGGAGAAGGGAAGAAACTGCCAAGAGGGAAAAACACAAAGTACTACCTGGGCCTCCCCTTTAAAGTACAGAAGTCTTCACTTGCTGGAGGAAGGTAGCAAATCCTGTTGTCCAGAGTATATGTGAAGACCCAGTGCAGATGGGAGAAAGGAAAAAGAAAAAAATACTCTATCCCTGGGGCAAGGACAGAAAACCACCCTGGATCATTAGTGGTATACTTCTGCTAGAGGAGGGGCAGGACCACCCAAGACCCACCAAAGATACAAGGCAGAGCTTGGCTACCACAGCAGAAGGGACAGGACCACAAAAAAGCACCATACCCAAGACCATCGTATAAGACTGGGCTGGACCAGAACCAAAAAGAATCAATCCTGCTCCCTCCCACCCAGCTAGGATGTACCAAATAACAACCAACAGAAAACTGTGCAACTTGGGGAGGTATAAGAATATGGAGAGAAACTCTCTGAGGGCCCACAAAATGAAGGGCTAAGGTGATGGCAGAACAAGAATACTGGGGAAGCAACCCCCCACCATAAGCATAATACTATAAGAATTTAAAACCAGCTTGATCTGAAGGTAACCACAACAATAACAAAACCTTGAATCTAACTCAACATCTGACAAGATTGACTCTATTCTGCTCGTTCCTCACCCCAGTAAAAGTCTAGAAGAGGCATGCTCATTTCCAGGTACAAATACTGTTTACCTCAGTCTGCAGTGTTCTATATGAAATGTTCAGCATTCAAGCAAAAATTACTAGATACCCAAAACAACAAGGAAAATGATCTACTACTAAAAGACAAATCAATAGAACCAGATGAGCTCACCTGCTTAGAGAGTCTGAGGCTAATGAGGACAAGTGTGGAGTTTGAACAACTGACAAATGAATTATCTTCACTTTGTTCTTAGCCACTGACTATCCCCAACATCATGGTTGAAGATTTTGCAAATTCATTCCACTGACAGTGCACTATCTTCATATAGATAGTGTCTCATATTCATTTACTTAACTCTTATAAAGCTAGGGTTCTAGTGTTTTTGTTTACTAGTTGGAAATTTAGATTAAGCAGAAATAAGGTGCCTCCTACAATTCTTGTATTAAGACAGGTGTAGAGCAAGTCTTACCTTCTAACTTATATGGTCTCATGTTTCACTCAAGCTAAATTATCCTTCTGCTTTTATATAGACAGAAAAACCCCTAATTTACAGTACAGTAATCTTTCTATTACAATATGTCATCTATACTGCTGAATGAATAGTTTCACCAAGAACAACCTTTTGATGGTGCAGTGATATATTACCTATCACTCTGCTGAGGCAGTCCGGAGAAATGTTAAGAAGAATCTTCTCCATCAGCATTGATCCTACACGGATGCAAATACTATGTCCTCCATCACCTATGGTCATTAAAGCTGGCCTACAAAAGAGTAAATAACATACAACCTTTAAAAAATATTTTCAAATGAAATGAATGCTTAAATACAATATAATTTTTTAAAGCACTGGGTTTTTATGCAGGATTAATTTTAATTTCCAAAATAACTCTAGGATATTCTGGGACATTCTAAAAACACAAGTAGGGTTTTTTTGTGTGTGTGGGGGGTCGTTTCTTTTTCAAGAGTTTCAAATGATAAATTTTGTATTCCATATTTATTTTAAAATGCCAAATACTAGTATAAGAAAAAATATATTATTTTACACTATTGTGTAAATTATTTTTAGAAAAAAATAAAAGTGATAATCACATATTTCACAATTATAATTTCAAATCATTTTTTCACTAGATTCTTTCCTATCGGAAATAAATTGTTTTGCATGTGAATAAACTGGGATCTGAATTTAAAATTTTCCGTAATTCTATATTATAATACTATGTGGCTGTTAAAAAGAATGAGGATGACTTATAAGTGCTATTAGGAAAGAAGCATGATGATAGACTCTAAGAAACAAATGATATGAACAATATTATTCCATGTACTTTTGAATAAAGGAATATACACATGCTGGTGTGAGCATAATAAATTACTGGAAGGATATTAACCAAAAAAAACTTCTAATGATTAATGCTACTTTGAAGGAAGTAGCATTGATGGTGGGAGGGGCTGGATAGTGAAAGAGACTTCCAGTCTTTGTTTTATACCCTCCTGGATAGTTTGCATCTTAACCATGGTATACATTAGCTCTTTCAAAAATAAATTTTTAAAAAACAAATTGAGAAAGGAAATTAGACTCATTAATTAATATTGGGGGGTTTAGTGTAACAGAGTGGAAACATGACTAATGATTTTCACCCCTAAAAACCTGTTTTCTCCTTTACCCACATGATGATTCTATGTCCTTTCCTCTTTTTACTCTATACATGTTCCCTAGGCGCTCTCTCTCCCTCCATTCTTTACTTCAACAAATATAAACTGAATATCTATTATGTACCATGGACTGTGCTAAGCACTGGGTATCCACTAGTGAACATGATAAATCTGGTTTCTTCATTCAAGGAATTTAAGACTTTAGTGGGATACAAAGAAAATAAGTTTTTCAACAGTGATGCCAAGATGATTTAGTGGGTATAGAATAGTCTTTTCAAAAAAGTATGCTGGGACAAATGGATATCCACTTGCAAAAAAATGAAGGTGGACCCCTTCTCTACACCATACATAAAGTTAAACTCAAAAAAGATAATGAATTTAAATGTAAGAGTGAAAACTACTAAACTATTAGAAGAAAATACAGTAGTGGCTTAGAAATGAAACCTTTCTTTGACATGACCCCAAAAGCACATGTAACAAAAAGAAAAACAGAATAGAAAGTACTAGAAAGGATGTGGAATGAGTACAACTCTCAGATTGCTGGTGAGAATGCAAAATTGTGCAGTAACTTTGAAAAATAATTAGGCAGTTCCTCAAAAGGTTAAACAGAGAGTTACCAAAACAACCCAGAAGTTCCACTCCTAGGTATATGCCCAAGAGAAATAAACACATATGTCACACAAAAACTGTACACGAATGTTCATAGCAGCAGTATTCATAATAGCCAAAAAGTAGGAACAATCCAATTGTCCATCAACTGATTAATAAAGATAATGTAGTATATGCATACAACGGAATATTATTTTGCAATTGAAAGAAATGCTACAACATGGATGAACCTTGAAAATACCATGCTAAGTGAAAGAAGCCAGTCACAAAGGACCATATACCATACCATATGCCCAAAATAGGAAAATCTGTAGACACAGAAAGTAGACTAGTGGTTGTCATGGGTTGAGGAATGGGAAGTGGGTTGTGACTGCTAATTGGTACACGGCTTTATGGGGACAGGTGATGAAAGTGTCCTAAAATTGGTCATGATGATGGCTACACAGCCCTGTGAATACATTAAAACCACTGAATTGTACATTTTAGATAGGCTAAACAGATGTTATGTGAGTTTTATCTTAGTAAAAAAAATTTTAAAAAAAAAGACAATACACAATTAAACAACAAATTGAAGGCCAGGCACAGTGGCTCACACCTGTAATCCCAGCACTTTGGGCCACAGTGGGAGGACTTCCTGAGGCCAGGTGTTCAAGACCAACCCAGTGGTAACTGTCTCTACAAAAAATAAAATTAAAAAATACAAACTTAAAATACAAATTTAAATAAGCATACACAGGCTACTATCACAGAAAGTAAAGTAGGGTGGTTAGGGAATGTCTCTCTGAAAATGTAGCATTTAAACTAAGATATGAAGCCAGCCTTGTGGAGTCAGGCAGAGGGAAAGACATGGGAGAACATCCTAAGGAGAAACATTGGAGTGTCTGACGAACTGAAAGAAGACTGTGTGACTGGAGCACAGGGAGTGGGAAGAATGGCAGCAGATGAGACCACAGGGGCAACAGTAATGGGGATGACTGATGATTGTTAAGTAAGGGGTAATCACACTGTCAGCTAGGTGAGGAATGGACTGGAGCCCAACTAAAAGACTACAACTGTGGCAGTCTAAGCAAGAAGCAGTAGTGACTTGGACAAGGCCCAAATGATTCCATCTAGCAGGTGCTGATTTTACATTTTGGTTTCATAGTAACAGGTTTCGGCTAGGGGAAGGGAAGCAGGGATGCCATGTGCTTTGAAATGTATAAGATGATCATATACAATGAAAAACTGTCCTACATAAAATGTCAACAGTGACCCTGATTAGAAACACGGGGGGTTTTTCAGATGCCAGCAGTAGAGATGAAAAAAAGTGGATGAATTTAGAATATAGTTATGGGTGAAAATTCATAGAATTTGCCAGGACAGGAAAGTAAGGAAAAGGGGATGATTCAAGGATTATGTCCAGGTTTCTAGCTTAAATAAACGGGTAGCTGATGGTGCCATTTATTGAGAAATATAAAAATGGGGAGGGAGCTGGGCTCGATGGCTCAGCCTGTAATCCCGCGCCTTTGGGAGGCTGAGGTGAGTGGATCGCCTGAGCCTGTGGGTTCAAGACCCGCCTGGGCAACTTGGTGAGACCTCATCTCTACAATAAATCAAAAAATTAGCCGGGCGTGGTCACGCACGCCTGTAGTTCCAGCTACTTGGAAGGCTGAGGCGGAAGGATCACCGGAGCCCAGCAGGTCGAGGCTGCGGTGGCCAGGAGCGTGCCACTGCACTCCAGTCTGGGTGACAGAGTGAGACTACAACTCAAAAAAAATAAAAATAAAAATAAATAAATAAATAAAGATGGGGAGAACCAGATTTGAGCATGGTTACGAAAAGCAAACCCATTTGGGATATGTTTAAGACTGAAATGCCTATAAGACATCTAAGTAGGACTCAAGTTAAGAATCTGGTATCAGAATACTGGAGCTTGGAGGAGGAAACCAGGGAGAAGATGTAAGTGCAAGTCACCGATATGCATATACATTTAAAAACTGTGAACAATTTAAAGACTTTTAAATAAATAAATAAAACAACTCTCACCTTAGCATGGCTATTCAAAATTCTAGCAAGGCAAGAATCTAGCACTACATCCTTAATGTGGTATGGTTTAGAACTAGATCTTACATACTTCATACTAGGTTTACTATGATCAGTTGATACTGATCTGTGAAGTCCTTCTCTTGAACAGTCATTTTTATTTTATTTATTACAAAGATGTGGGGTACAATTCTGGGTAAGGTATACAAACATTGATTATGCAGGTACCATTGTTGATGAGGTATGCCCTTTTCTCCCCTAGAAGTTTCCCTCGACTGACAATCCGACTCCCCCTCCCCTGACAGTTTCCCACTAGGGATTCCCAGTCTGCCAATCCCTTTCTTATAGTATTATAATAATTGTTCAAGGTCCGCTTATAAGTGAAAACATATAGTACTTTGTTCTTTGTTTCTGTGATAGATCACTGAGTATAAACAACTCTAAATCCATCCAAGTTGCTGCGAAGTCCGTATGTTTGTCCTTCTTTATGGCTCCATAATATTCCATTATGTATATGTACCACATTTTTTTATCCAGTCCAGCTTCAATGGGCAACATGGTTGGTTCCATATTTTTGCTATTGTGAATAGAGGTGCAACAAACACACATGTGCAGGTATCTTTTTTGTAGAATGATTTGAGTTCCTCTGGGTATAGTCCCAATAGTGGAATTGCCGGGTCATATTAAAGGTCAATTTCTAGTTCTTTCAGAAATAGCCACACTGTCTTCCATAGGGGTCACACTAGTTTGCATTCCTACCAGCAGTGTAGAAGTGTTTCTTCTTCTCCGCCTCCTCTCCAGCATCTGTTGCTGTTGTTGTTTTGTTTTGTTTTTTTTGAGTTGGAGTCTCACTCTGTCGCCCAGACTGGAGTGCAGTGGCCACTCCCGGCCACCGCAGCCTCCACCTGCTGCGCTCTGGCGATCCTTCTGCCTCA